TTCTTTATGTTATATATATAATATATAAAATACATACATATATATATACATATGTATATGTATATATATATATATATATATATATATATATATATATGTGTGTGTGTGTGTGTGTGTGTACACTGAGAGAATATAAAATTGTAACACCCTAAAGTCAATTTTAATCTGCGTACAGTATTCTTGATACATAGAGCTTATCCACATCGACAATGAAACCAGCGATCAAAGATGGAATTCTTACGGAATTTGTTATTTTCACTTCACTCTAACACACATTGAAAGGTATGAATTCTTGTAGCAACTACGGTAAGATCTTTTGCATTAATGCAGGCGTCCCCCAGGGTTCTATTCTTGCACCTAAGTTGTTCTTAATTTTCATTAATGACCTTCTTGATGAACACAGTTCTAAATTCGGTATCTATATCACAGCCATTTATTTCTGTCTTTATAGTAATTTTGAGCGGTTGCAAAAGGCCAGACTTGCAGCTGATTAAAAAAAAAACTAAAAAAATGATCTAATTTCTGTTGTTAACTAGGGCAAGGAATGGCTTGTTAATTTTAAAACTTCCAAAACGAAATTGCTCTCATTTAATCGTCTGAGAGAAGCCTTTATACATTCCATCAGTATGGATGATATTAGATCTATGTGGGTGACACATTGCGCATTCTCGGATAAACGTTGCCTTAAAGGGTCAATATTAGAACGAATCAGTTCCTAGATCTGTTGCTAGGAGTGTTGGTTTCCTGTGTTGTGCCAGACAGTTTTTCTCGACAGAATCTATCTTTATATTTATAAATCTACCATTCGTCCTTGCTTTGAATATGACTGCAACATCTGCTCTGGTGCTCCTGTTATATATTTAGATATATCTAGAAGAATCTGCAATAACCTTGGTAGATATCAAGCTGGCATCTCGGCTTCAACCTCTTTCTCGCTGTTGTAGTGTAACACCCCTGTAACTTTTCTGTAAATACTTTCATGGTAATTGTACTAAGGAACTTTCCTACATGGTACCTAAACTTTAAGAATTTAAGCACAGTACTAGATTGGCAGTAAGATTTCATCATTTTAAAGACGAAATAGCTAGATGTTAACGTAAGTTCTATGCTAGCAGTTTCTTCTATCTCACTTCTTGCTAGGCATATCTCTTCCTGGGCTAGGCTTTCCAGCCAACTTTGATCTTCAAATATTTTTACTATTATTTTCTTCTATCTTTTTAATATTTGTTCTTTATTGTTCTCTCTCTTTAATAGTATTTTTTCTTATTCCGTTACACGCAGTAACTACTTGCCTCTTAGTAGCTTTATTGCCTTGCTTGGGAGAAAAAAAGGAGAAAAATGTCTCATTCAAAACCGTGTAAAGTCAGTGGTAAAGAATAATATTAACATTTCAAGGAAGTCATGAAATTTTAAAAATATTTTGTTTGTCTTAATACAATCATTCCTGACAAACCGGGCATTGAAGGTCGTTCTCAACGGATTCTCCTATAGCTCCTATCCCACGAACGCAGGTGTTACCCAAGGCTCTATCCTAGGCCCTACATTGTTTCTTATCTTCATTAACGATCTTCCTGATGTCATAGGTTCCCAAGTAGGCATCTATGCTGAAAACACTACTATTTACTCCTGCCTCAAAAACAAATCTAGTGTCGCCGACAAAACTAAACTGGCCGTTTGTCTCGAAAAGGACCTCCAATCGGTTGTGGACCGGGGTAGGAATTGGTTGGTTAACTTTAATGCCTCAAAAACAAATCTGCTCTCTATTACTCACCAGAGAGAACCGTCCCTGCCCCCCATTAGAATGTCTGACGCTCAACTCCACGAGAGCACCTTTTTGCGACTGCTCGGTCTCATATTATCTGCTGACCTGAGGTGGAACGAATACCTTGATTCAATAGCTTCGTCCACCGCAAGGAAGGTCGGCTCCCTGTGCCGCGTCAGGAAATTCTTCTCGCCAGAGTCACTCCTTCAAATCTAAAAATCAACCATTCGCCCTTGCATGGAGTATTGCTGCCATATATGGTCTGGAGCCCCTTCTGTTTGTCTCAAGGTCCATGATAAGATCCAAAGACGGATATGCAATGTAATTGGCCCTGATCTGGCATCTCGTCTGCAACCGCTTTCTCACAGACGTGCCCTTGCCTCTCCTCTGTCATTTTTACAAATACTTTCACGATAACTGCTCCTTTGAGTTGCTTTCGATGATTCCCTGACTTAATGAATTTAATCGTTCAAGTAGGCTGGCATCTAGCTCGCTCTCTTTCACTGTCGACTCTGTTAAATGTAGACGTCTCTTCTACTCCAATAGATTCACGTCTCGCACTTCTCGCCTGTGGAACTTCCTCCCCATTTCTTGTTACCCTGATCTCCAACTCTTCAAAGGTAATGTCAATCAACGTCTCCAGGTACCCTGAACTATCCGCTAACCTTCTCTTCACCCCTTCCTCTATCACTTCTCTTAGCTATCGCTCCAACTCTCTGTAATCCCTTGCATGTTTGTGGCTTCCCGACTTGTTTGAGTTGGAAAGCCTAAAAAAATAGGATGACCTGAATAACATAACTCTCTACGTCCTGTACAGACATGGAATTTAAAGATGAATGCATTATGGGCAATGATTGATAGATATTTGGTAACATTTTCAAGATTTTCGACCACTTAATGAGGTAGCAGCACACGTATATGTAGTAAACCTGGGTTTTAAATTGTGACGCATGCGCTGGTTATATCCAGTTTGTTCATACTCCTTTGTATGTTCGTATCATGCCAACGAAACACAATTAGAGTGGTTTCAGAGAGTTACGATTGTTGATGTTCGATAGGCAAAATAATAATTTTGGAGAATTTCGGCCCGTATTGAACGGGATGCGGTGTTACAATATTGTCACAGCGTCATGTGCATATTCCTAAAACAGTAAACCACATTCCGTATAGCCATGATAGAAGCATCGTAATTTCGACAGTGGTAGACCGCAATGTAATCACAGTATATAGCTGGTCACCCTCTACTGGGGTGGCTAGCATATCCCTATTGCAGACGCTTCTTCAGGTGCATTTGTGTTTATTCAACACCCACAGAGCTTAACCGTGTTTTATACTGCAACTGTGATGAGCAGACCTTAGTTACAGTTTCTGGGAAAGTGCGTGTCATCTAGCGTGATCAATAATTTAAACTAGGCCAGCAGGCTCAAAGCTTCGGCCACGATCACTTGTGACTTCATGCCATCATAGCTATCGACGGACTCCGAGGTTTCTGTCTACCCAATTTCATTCACAAGTCTTGGGTCAACTCGTGGCATGTTTTGCAGACAATTTCCAAAGGTGCCGCACACTGGGATCGAAATCTCCAGTTCGATAAGATCTGACAAATGGTCGTATAAATATTGTGCATAGTTAGGCAGCAATTTTTCATTAATGCATGTTTCATTAAATAATATAGACAGGTAAACTAATACATGTTTAAATCCAATCTAAGCTAAAAATTCTTGAAGCATTATACATAACGTGAACAAAATTAACTACGAAATCTCCACAAATATTCTTAAATGTCTATAACTGATAACAGAAACCATTGCTTTATACTAACGGCTTCCCATACTTAATACTTCTCGTTTTCACTCTCGCGGTGTCATGTGTCATGTCACGAGCTGCGATGCAATTTTCGCTTCCGCGTCTTGTATACAGTTAGTCGAGTTAATCGTTGCTTTGAAATTTTTCATGCAAACAGACTATCATTAGTCTTTCGTCCGTGTATTGGTTGATATATTAAAAAATAAATATCATCTTTGATGATGGCTTATATAGGCCGAAAGCTTAGATTGGATTTAAACATGTATCAATATGGTGATTTCCTTTCGTCATTCAATTTGTTAAGCTTATCATACATGAAAGGAACTTACATAGACAGACAAAACCGGTCTATATTACTTAATGAAACATGCAGCAATATATATATATATATATATATATATATATATATATATATAGATAGATAGATAGATAGATAGATAGATATAGACAAAAACAGTTTACTCACTACAAAGATGCATCTTGTTCATAAACATTTGGAGAATCGAAATGGTGATGTACAGTTCTGTTTGGTACAAACAGAATTGTTCATAAGCATTTCGGTTCTCCCCAGTCGAAGTGCAACTGAAATGCATCTTGTAGTAAGTAAACTGTTTAGTCTATATGAAAATAATATTATATATATATAGAGCGCAATGTGTAAACTGGCACCGTGCCTTTTGATTTGTCGATTGCACACTATAGTAGGTTCAGTTGGGCACCGTCTGTGAGAAAAGGAGTCACATGACGCAATTCTCTCCGCCGGAAATTTTGAATCAGCACGCTGTACTACTTGGCATTCGCGCAGGAAGCTTCAATAGGAACATTTCAAAGTATTTGGGTGACTGTTGAGAGTATGCTCCGTACGCAGAGGTGTACTGAGATTGAGGAAAACCGAATATCCAGTGAGCATCATGCTGTTTATTGTGACCACTAGTGATGGTGATGTTATGCCTCTATTCATCTTCCCACAGGGCCTCAGATTCAACACGGAGGACTTTTAACTGTTGCCTTGACGGGATCAAGAGAGTTGTTGCTGCAAGATACTATGTCTAGCAAAAGGACTCTGCACCATGCCACACAAAGCAGGAGAAACCAGTCAATGGCTGTCAGAAAATTTCTGCGACTAAAGCACCCCTTATATATGGCCCCCTAAATCCCGAGACTGCAAATCCCTTTATTATTATGCGTGGGGTGCTGTTTAGCAAAAGACAGACAAAACTCTTCGTAACACGGAGGCAAGAATCATAGCAACATTCACCAACTTAAAACAATGAGACCGCCCAGAAGAGTTGCAAATGGATCAAGTGGCCAATCGCGATTTTATTGCACAAATTTTTCTTTAATATTTCAAAACTGTTTTGTGTAATTTTGGTAAGTATGTCTGTTAAAATGATGTGTCAGTGTTATTTTTATTTTGGTATAATTTTGGCAGCGATCCGTCCATCGCACACAGTATCTATCTATCTATCTATCTATCTATCTATCTATCTATCTATCTCTCTCTCTCTCTCTCTCTATATATATATATATATATATATATATATATGTGTGTGTGTGTGTGTTTGTGTGTGTCGTAATCTATGTGTGTGTGTTGTTAACGTTACATATGTAGGTTAATCTTAGATGTTTTCTGGTCAGTTTATCACATTTTGATGGCAAGGTGAGATGCTGGCCAGATGGGACGAGTTGTTGCAAAATTGCCCCTACCCTGAAGACATTCATTATGTGTACTGCAGAAGACTTGCAGATTTGTTTTGACACATGTTCGACGGATTTAGCATGATTGCGGTAAAAAGCATGATGTAGGTATTTTAGTTTCTTACCCAACTGTTATTCCATTAATCATTCTTTGCCGAATAAAACATTTAGGAGAGGAGAGAAAAAAAAAACACCGCTTTGTCAAAAATTGATTAGTTCTCTTGATTAGAAGATAACTTTTAAAAAGATTTTTGAAATGTTTGATTATTTGAAATAAATTTCGTTTCATTTTAAGGAGAAAAAAACTTTCTTCATTTTTAATAATTACATAATATCAGTTGTGAAATTAATTATTTCTTGCTTAATGTAATTCTGTGCAAACTGAAATCCGGTAATAGTGAACGTATCACATCTCTTCTTTTGCACGTATTAACACCGTGTAAATGTTGAAACTAAGAAAGATGTGTCATACCATTTTTTCATTCAGACAAATCTTAATCTGTACATCTACAGTGCGTCTTATTTTATTATACATATATCTTAAATCTAAATAACTAGAATTTGATTTGAACAAGTTGTGTCAAATTTTAAACGATTAATTTCGACGTCAAAAACATGTTTTGTTAAAGTGTTTGGAATTAATAGAAAAACCGCCATCTGAAGATATTATGCAAAAGCAGAAAATCACTTTTTACTTCAATAACAAGGCAATAGAATCATCAATCTCTAGAACAGGACAAATATATGACATATATAATAAGTCTTTGAAGCAATTGCATCTTAATATATTGACACGTATTATAAATAACAGAAATCTATTATCCAAATATTTCTTGGCTCAGTGTTGAATCGTAGGCATCATACTTTTTCCTAATGTTTTCGTGCGAAGTGATTAAACAGAATCGGCTGGAAGATGCACAGAGCCTATCAATCACATTTATTCAGCCTAAATACACATAAACGTTCACACACACACATATATATATATATATATATATATATATATATATATATATATATATATATATATATATATATATATATATATATATGATAAACTTGATACGATACCAGATGTGTTGAAACAAAAATGGCTATTTTGTAGTAATTTTATAACATATCTATGTTATAATTTTCGAATAAATAATTATATATATATATATATATATATATATATATATATATATATATATATATATATATATGCATGGATGGATGGATTGATTAAATTAGACGGAACAATTAAAATTTTAAAATTAAATTGACGAATAGAAAAAAACATTTATAATTTTGCAAAAGATTCCACAATACATATATTGAAAATTTGAAATTTTACAGATTTTTCAATTTATTACTTAATTATTCATATATATATATATATATATATATATATATATATATATATATATATATATATATATATATATATATAATCAAAGAAAAACAGGCCACTTTAACGCTCCATTGTAATGGTTTATTTAACCAGGACCTTTTGACTACTCATACGGATTACCAAGTTTTTCCTTACTTAAATATATATATATATATATATATATATATATATATATATATATATATATATATATATATATATATATATATATATATATATTTTAAATGTGTATGTTAGATTGTGATTGTGTTCAACCTGTTATTCAACCAGTTAAATCAGAAATTAATTAAATTATAAATCCAATTAATACACACACACGCATATATATATATATATATATATATATATATATATATATATATATAGATAGATAGATAGATAGATAGATAGATGTATATATATATATATATATATATATATATATTTTAGAGAGAGAGAGAGAGATAGTGAGATGAAGAGGAAGGCATATAGAGAAACAGAGAAAGAGAGTGATGTATATATGCATATAAGTTTCTGCTTTTACATTTACATATGTCTTTCAACTTGTTCCTCGACAATATCCCTGCGGGTCAGAGACAATCGGTTGGTGTAATTTGTATTTCATTATATTTCACAAAAAAGAAAATTCTTCATATAATTTTTCTGTTCACTTACATTGATTTCCACAGACATGACATTCGCTCCACTTGCTAATATTATTTTTTTCCGTTTTATTCTTTCGTCATTGCTTTTGTCTCTTTGGCCTTTTCCATTCGTCATTTTTTAATCTGTCAAACATTAATCATACAATAAGGCATATTGAAATTGCTTGCAGCGCGACTGCCTACACTTCGACTGAAAGAAACTAGAAAATATCAATCCCACAATGCTGTAAACCTCGACTCCATCTCATGCATATTTGTGGCTAAAATTAACAGTAAAACAATTTTATTAAGTGAATTATAAGATTCGACTCTTAAAGACAACTACATTAATAATAATAATAATAATAATAATAATAATAATAATAATAATAATAATAATATCAGCCCAAAAGGCAGATCGTGTGATAAATATCCAGAAACAATTGATCATCTTGTGTCAATTTGCACAGTATTGGCACCCACTGAATATAAAAACTGGCATGACAGAGTGGGCCAATGTCTGTAATGGAAAATTTGCGACTTCTGGGGAAAAAGAAAATGAAAGAAATTGGTATGAATACCACCCAGACCCGGTTACGGAGATAGGACCTGGAACAATTTTATGGGACATTAAAATACACAGAGACATAACAATCAAAGCTAATCGACCAGACATCGTTATTAGAGATCGCGAACAAAAAACATTACCTCCTTATTGAGATATCAGTCCCTGCAGACTTAAAAAGCCATAAAATACAAAGATTTTGAAATTGATATCTCGAAAATGTAACACATGAGAACATTATAATTCCTCTTGTAGTTGGAGCCCTCGGATTGATCGGAAAAGATTCCAATAGATCAATTGAAAGGATACCTGGAAGACCATGCTTTAAAGAAATACAAAAGAAAATTCCCACAAGTACAGCCCACACCTTATGAAGAGCTTTATCTATGTAATTTTTTTTTTAAATTGCTCAGCGGAAAATTTCATGATACCATGCTAATCTCCCAGACATAAAGACCCAAAAAACACAAAAATATGCTTTCCTGTCATGACAGTCCTCGAAAACTATAAAAATAAAAGGATACTGAAGTGGAAATCTAAAAATATGTGACACTTGAAAACATCAATAATTCCAGTTGTAGTTTGAGCCCTCGGGTTGATTGGAAAATGTTTCCAGAGTTTCATTGAAATGATCAGTGAAAGATGTCATTGAAGTCATGTCTGACGTCCAATCTGTGGGTTCAAGAAAGAAATGTGTATACAACAGAAATCCAAGGAAATAATAATAATAATAATAATAATAATAATAATAATAATAAAAAAACAAGAGCAAAATGGAGTTTCAAATGGATGCAGAAATACAAGTAAAGCACAATATACCGACTGAAGCTGCTAAATACATAAAAATGAAAGCAATAACAAAATGCAACCGACCAGATACAGAAACAATGGCAACATAAACCGTTTCATGGTCAATATTCTGCCCGAACCAAACAAGCTGATTTAGACAAACCCCGTACCCATCAGTGGCTACGTAGTGCAGGGTTAAAAGCTGAAACGGAAGGATCAGTGCTTGTTAACTAGAAATTATCAAGCACACATATTAAAATATAGTGTTAGTCCAAAATGCAGGTTCTGTGATAATTACCCAGAAACAATCGATCATTTTGTATCAGGTTGTACGTTATTGGCACCCACTGAATATAAAACCAGGCATGACATAACTGGACAATATCTGCACTGGAAAATTTATAACTTCTACGGAAAAGGAAACTGAAAGAAATTAGTATGAACACCACGCAGACCCGGTTACGGAGATAGGACCTGGAACAATTTAGCGTGACTACACAATACACACTGACAGAACAATTAAAGTTAACCGCCCAGATGTTGCTATTAGTGATCGCACACACAAAAAAAGGTGTCTCCTTATTGATATGGCGGTACCTGAAGACTGCAATGTATCTTTGAAGATATTCAAATAGCTATCAAAATACAAGGAACTTGAAATCGAAATCTCAAAAAATGTGGCACATGGGAAAATCATCAATCCCCGTTGTAGTTGGAGCCCTCGGATTGGTTTGAAAAGATTCCAGTAGACTAATTGAAGGGATTCCTGGAAGCCCATGCCTTAAAGAAATACAAAAAATTGTTCTCACGAGTACAGCCCAAACCTTACGAAGTGTTTTGTCTATGTAAAATATCTTTGACTCAACTATATCATTCATATTATTCTGATATATGAGAGAATATAAAACGTATTTTATTTTTGTATACATTTTTGTCCCAATTTTTATACCCTGTACACGTCATTGAAACCGATATATTATTAATAGTCGTTGGAGTAGGAGTATTAGTAGCAATAATACGCGTGTGCTTTTGTGTGTTTCTGTGCGCGCGCACACAGACGTGTGTGCTACAACGTTTGCATTTCGTCCTTGAGATCCAACTTCGAATTTTCAGATAAAAGAATTCTTGATCCCACTGGTCTGGGGAAAATATTCCAGCGTACAGCACCATTGAAAAGTCCTACTCACATAGTACAGCATGATTCAAACATTGTGAGCGAAACTGGATTGGAGAAAATCAGAAGCCATAATCAATTTCAATTTTGATAACCATTTTGGTGTGTGTATATCTGTATAGAAATCTGCTTAAAATGTTCTCCCATACCGCAAACTGTAAGGTTTACCGAATGTCAAGCCTTATTTACATTAATATCCACCTTATTTCACTCCGTTATCTCTGAATGTTATTGCTGTATTTTATAAGCAATTAATTTTTTTCACAAGTGAACCTGCCCTTCAGGCACCAATTAAGTAGGTAAGCG